GTAACCCCCATGCCACGGGGGTCGATTCTTTCACAAGAACGCTGAGTCAGACTCAACAAAATTCATTCCCGGGACGCTCCAGTCGCGTTCCTAGCTTATAATAGGAGATCAAGCAGGGTCAATAATAATGCAACGAGGAAATCTGCTGGGATTTCGGCAGCCCAAGGCTAATTTGCACAGATTAAATAAATGGTAAAATTGATTTAATCTGTTTGGTGCTTCGACTGCCGCAGCGACGGGCTTACATATTCTCGTTTGAACTAACGCCAATGTCTTCCTAGATGCTGTGATGCCACTTCATCAACTAATGAAATGGTATCGCAGCATTTGCGAAGATATTTGTGCCGTTCCAACGATGCTGAAAAGAGTGCCCTGTTTCAATTTGAGGGCGTGCGTTGTGTATGGGAAATTTTCGTCTCGGGGGAATGAAGTGGGGCCGGTGATCAGAAGCACCGGCAGAGCCTGACTCGCGCCACGTTGCGCAGCCCCAATTGGTCAGTTTCCGTGCCATTGCCACTTCCCAATTAGTCAACGGGCACATGCGATTGGTTATTCATGGCTTGGCAACACCAGACAATAGGATATTCGCACTGCAACAAGTTATAGATTGCCTAATTGTTTTGCTGGAGGGCGATGCAACAGCCGAATTGACGAGGATGATTGCACGTGCAGATATGCAATACATGCCATTTTCACCCACATTGCTACTACTTTAAAATGCCCTCTTTGATTGAGCAAAAGGCTCCCTACTGCCGGCAAGTACGTCCGCTGGCGGGCCGAAAGATGTGCAAGATTCGTGCTGCCAAGCGTGTTGTCGGATTTTCAGGTGCCCCCTTCGTGAGCCAGGAGCACGCCCTGCACTCCAACTACGCTGTGCACTCCCCTGGACCCATCTACGACGTCAAACACGTCTTGGCACACGTCGGTGCGCGTAATATCCACAGGACCTGGAATTACATATCATACATAGCTGAATATTATAAAATATAGCTATCTGTAGCTATGGAATGGTGACCCAGCGGTAGCTGATGCATCGCCACAGAATGCGTCATCGTGGATTGGCATCGCCCAATCACCCTAAAATTGGCGAAGGGAGGACCTTCATGCTTGAGAACACAGTGAATATCATAAAATGAACAGATGCAAATGCAAGCAAGTATAATCAACAGTGAGGGAGGCAAGTCAAAATGAAAGAATGCCGACCTCGACAGAATGCCATTTTACCGAATACCAGTCCATCGGTGCACGTGTTGGTGAGCATGTTCGGTCGGTGGTGTCGCTGTGGTGACCACAAAAGCAGAGGACAATTCAGTTTACATGTTTCATTGTCATGAAAATATGTATAATGACATGATATGCATAAAGCATGCATAATCCGCATAATGGCAGAGCGATGTACGCTGAATGCCTTGGAACGTAATCGCTGCAGGCTCGCCGGCGTTTCACATCTCCGGGCAGAAGGACCGCTTCTACAACCGATTCGAGCCACAGAGGATTGCGTGAAAATGGTCACCAGCGCCGCACGCGCCAAGGAGGCATTTGCACCCGCGTCGGCATCAGCACTGGCGACGCCAGCGCCGCAGCAACTTCCGCCGTCTGTGGCACGCCGCGACAGTCCCCGGCCACCGGATGGGGCGCCCACGAGCGCCCTTTGGGCGAATCCTTTGAGCGTCCTTTCAGGGGAACCATTTGATGAATTTCTGGATGATTTTACACCCGTTGCTGCACTCCGTAATGCTTTAATCCTGGCAGTGAACACCAGGTTCTGATTTTTTCAGACCGAAAATTGCTCCGACGGCTTGCACCATGCCGATGGCCGTGGACAGGGGCAGTGCTCTGGCCAGGAGGACGAGATGCTTGAGGTGTTAGACCAACACAATTGCACAAAGAAGCGGAAACAGAATTCAATAAACGCGTCAAGAAATGCACCTGTTCTTGATGCGTGAGGCGAAATTACGTATTCATGAACCGAGATAGTTCTTACTTCATTCATTACTCTATTCGTTCAAGAAACCACCGCCGATGTATTATAAGGTCAACACCAACGGTACCAGCACCTTGCGTCGGTGAAGCACGAGTGCCCAAAGCCCGCTAGTTTCTGGTACGAGTCGCGATGGTCCATGACAAAACATCGGTTAGTATTGCATCCAAAGTACTGTCTATTTCATGGGAACTCAAATCGATTTTGCTTGCAGGTGGAACGCAAGCTCTGAAAATTGTTGATGATGATTACAACACCATGATCAGGCTTGCTGCCTTTGTGCGCAAAATTTTATTCCCCTTCACAGGTATTTTTCAATTCCAATGTATTACAACATGTAATACATTGGAATTAAAAAATACCCGCGCAGAACGTAAAGCACAATGGGGTCCTTTTCCAGCACACCTGTGACTGCGCAGTCACAGGTATTATTGCCCATGCAAATGTGGACAGATGTGCGCAACCAGGTGCCGTCTGTGCACAGCTATGTAGACAGCGCCCGGGTGCACCATAAAATGTACGCGAATATTTGTACACACGGCCGTTGGGTATTTTGCTTGTTTTGCCATACAAAGGTCTGAATGTGTTTGCCGTCCCGGTGTATCCCCCGCCAGTGGCCACTGGCGTCCCCCATGGGGGACACACGATCGGGCCAATGCCAGGTTTTGACCATGGCGGCGCTACCACGCTCACTGCTGGCAATGGAGCGATGCTCTTGGCATGGTATTCAACCGCCGTGTGGAGCAGCTCCACACCGCCCATTCCATGATGTGACGCCATCAGAAATCTGGAGAGCAATGCATGCATCACGCCGCACACCTGGATTTGAATGCAGGAAAAACTTGCAGAGACGCGGTTTTCCAAGCGTGTACCCTCTGCTGAGTCCGCCCATGTCCGATAAAAGCACAGACGTGTCTTGGCCATGGTACGTGCCAAGTTTCACCAGAGCACCGTGTCTGGTCAGTGTCGGCGAAGCACAGTTTTCATACGGTGTGACGTGGGTATACGGTGCTATACACAGCTCTGTTGAGAGCACCATGCAGTCACACGCGGTTACATGGGCAGCTGCACAAGCGGTTCTAGAATCGCGATCACAGATCTGTGATAATCCACAGTACTGCACAAGACTGCCAGGGGAAGCCAACCCGGTTGCAGCCTTTCACACCCAAACTACTGAAGATTTCCGTCCTTCCATGCACATTTCCCCCAGGACAGCACAGGCTTTCGATTGTCGCCTTCCTTGCCTCGAGTCCGCTGTTGGACGCGGTGGTGCTGGCGCCGGACTGGCCGAGCGCAGTTTGGTTTCCCAAGCTCCGGGCGATGGCATGGGAGGAGATCTTCGTTCCCCGCCAACCCGACCTCTTTCTCCCTGGGGATCCAAGCCGCCCGACCTCCCTTCCTCTGCCGCGATGGAATTTGTGAGCCTTCCATGTGGCTCTGCGGATGCGATTGGAGGGGGCGAGGCGCCTCCTTCGGGCGACGCTCTGAGTGAATTGGAAGCTCTGGCTTCCCCCGCCAGTGAGCCTCCATCGGACCCGTTCCCCTTGGACCCAGTCCAAGGACCATCCTCTCTATGGCACCGAGATCGACGGTCTGCTGGCCAACGATCGCAGCTGGTTGGCGCAGCAATTCCTCGCCTCCTACACGGAGGCCACTCGGCAGACAATGCAGGCGAAGTTTCTTCGATTCCAATCCTTTGTTGAGGTGCATACCTTGGCGCCACTGCCCGCCTGCCGCGCCACCATCTACTGCTACGTTCGGTTCCTCCGGGAGGAAGGCAAGATGGGCGTTTGTTCCTTCCCGCAATATCTTGCAGCCATTTCCATGGTGCACCACATGTTCAGGCACCTTGGTTTTTCAGCTTTTGACCCAATTACCCCTGTCCTCACCCGCGCCTGGTGCCGTGCCGTGCCAGGGCCCCTGCAACATCACCGACTAGTGCCAATCGAGGTGATGATTCGCATCCTCGATGTGGGCTTCACCATGGAGGACGGGGCTCTCCTTTGGGCAGCGAGCGCGGCATCCATCGACTACTTCTTTTTCAATCGGGCATAGTCTGGCCATTTCGATTCGGCAGAGGACATCCGGGTGGAGGACGGTATCATCTTATTTCGGGAGCGCAAGTCCAAGCTGCACAAGGATGCGGCCCCGCGATTGCGCTTCCTGTCCTATCCATCCCAAGGCGCCCTGCAAGTCGTCGATCTTCTTCACTGGACGGCTTTCCGCGACCGTGCCTGGGCGCAGATGGACCAAGCCCCCTGCCATTTCTATCGGCTCTCCAGCGAGGCATCCCCCGGCGCCAAGACGGTGGTCGCTTGGTTTTCGAGCTTGCTGACCCGCCACCCGACCATCGCCCAGGAACCTTATATGCACCACGGCGTCCGCAGCAGGGGTGCGTCCAGCTGCTTCGCTTTGGAGGTCGCTGAACGGTGCATTCGGGATTGGGGTGGGTGGAAGTCTGATGCTATGTGGTCGTACGTGGACGTTTTTCGTTTGCCCACGGAGTGGGACTTTCGTTTGTTCGGGTGGATGACTATCACCGCCCGCGACCTCCACGCCCAATTTGGGCACATTTTCTGCCCCTGAGGTGCCTCCCGTGCCCTGGAGAGTGAATGGGCAAATTGTTAAGTACCGGGACCTCGGGTATGTGGAGTTGTTGGTGATGGACACCGTTGTTGTAATGTCTTGTCGTGGGGGAAATATGACCGGGAGGGTTCAGGAGACCGGTCAGGTGGAAATAGCTAACATGGACGTTTACAACCCAACTCCTTGCACAACTGCTTCGTCCGCCGGCCCGAATCCCACCCATATTGCTTCCAGTACACAAGGGCGGCGCATTCTGTCATGTGTTCCCGAATCCAGTAAAAGGCAGTCAAGGCAGTAGGTCTCTAGCAACCAGGAAGGCATCTTGTCATGTGGTGACAAATGCAATGGACACAGTTTTTATCTCGCAACAAATCCCCACCCACCCCACCCACCGCGTGCTCCCCGCCCCCCACCCCGAAGAATAAATCAAACATTACTCCACCGACGTCGGAAACATCGACCCCACTGCTCGCCTCCGCGCCCTGGCCACATATTCCATCAGGCCTGGGATCTCGAGCTGCTGCCCCAGCTTCATTGCTGCTTCGTCGGGCAGCGGCCTGCGCATCCTGCAGTCAAACAGGGTGGTTGATCGTCATTTCTTCTTCTCAACTTTTGGAAATTTGTGCTGCTGAGCTGCTGCCTCGATGTCCACCATTGATTTGTCAATTTTCTAAACAAGACATTTTGCGCTGTTTGCCAGTCTTTATCACCACCATCACCATCACGAATTCTTGAATAGCAGTTTTACATTTTAGATTAGAATTCTTAACCTCAAGTTTCAACTGCTAAAGCTTACATCCCAAAATGTAAATTTTACACTGCCAGTCTTCAAAAACAGGGAACCTAAGTCGACCCTTCCACCCAGAAGTGCAAACAACTGACTGCCCAAACCTTTCTTGTGACGATGGGGGTGACAACTGGAGCCTTAATCACGATTTTATTGATTTGGAATTGAAAAAAAAAATCAATCCCCCTGTCAAAACTGACAAAGCCCTGCCTGCAAGCTGACTCTGTGCACTACAGAGCGACGAGCTGAATCGGCACTCACACTGGATGAATTTCGCAGCTGGACTGAGTTGAAATTCTGTACATTCTGTGGCAGATCAAAATCACGCCTTGTGTTGCAGCAGTCCGACTCGTCAAGTGTCACACTGCACTGATTGGGTGCACCCAGCCTGTCAGTACCTCATGGCCGGCTGCACAATCTCCTCGAGTGTTGCGCTGGCAACAAAACGTGGCACCCACTCCAGGGGCTTCTCCTGCCGATATGTGTTGGCCCTTTCAAGCAGGTCGAAGTACCTACAGGACAGCAGATAACCAAATCGATGTCCCCACTCACCCGCCTTCTAACAAACACCTCACCATGAGAGTATTTGTCCCCAAACAGCATTCCACTCAAAGACAATATACCAACAAAGGTTGTGGAGCTTTGTTTGCATCGCTATATACAGGTCTTTGTGCATTAAACTGAGCAACTGCACCTCACGCACGTGGTCCACGCATGCTTGAAACTGCGTTAAACTTTTGCCTTTGGTCGCTGGTAGGGCGGTCAAGGGTTCAGAATCTGGTGGAAACTGCTGCTGGTTTCAGCAATTGCTGCTTGTATGCAAACTCTGCGATTGCAATTACCGAAACATAATCAACACTGCTCTTGGACATGCAAGTCAACGACTGGGACAATCCCTTCCTCAGCTTTTGTTGAGAATGCCTGTTTGTATCGCCTCTGTCAGCAATTGCCACCAGGCTCAAATGGAATCCCATTCCCCCTCATGCCCTCACCCTTTATCATCTCTGAGCACTCTTGCTGCCCATGAGCCGTTGGGGAAGACATGCCCAGTCTTCTCCATATCCAGAAGCCTCAACCTCATGGCCTCGATCTGTTGCGCCCTGAGGTGGTCCAATCCCGAGCAAATGGCCTTACATCCCCCCCGTGCTTTGTAATGGGAGTACAATCTGTAGACTGCATAGTAGATGGGGAAATTGGGTGCCGGTGTTATCTGCCAGCACATGATTGGCTTTCAACAGTGAGGGAAACAATCAGCCCTTATTTGTGCACGTTTGCTGGAACATGACAACGTACTACCCGCCACCTGCTACACGTTGGCAAGCACGATTTCTTGCACAATGTTCTGACTGACCAGCACTGCTGTTGCTCAAGTCTGTGAGGGCAATACTCAACCAATCACACACTACTCCCATTGCCGGCCACTGATAAAGGAACGAGTCACGATTGGGTGGCTGGGCGTTAGGACTTAGGGCATGTCTATATGGTCTATAGGTCTGTAGGTCTCTGCCTCCATATTAGTTGTCGGTAGCGGGAACACTGTCACAAGTCAGGTACTGCATCATCAAGTCGTCGACAGTCCCCGTTCGACAGCAAGTCTTCATTTCAGCAACAGATGATGCTAACCATCAAGTTGGCAAGCAATTCCTGGGGAAGACTATTCCAGACAGTTCTCAGCACTGGCAAGATGGTGTGGAGGACATTGGGTATGACTGGAACACCACACACAAGTGGACTGTCCAATGGGGTGTGTGGAAGCCAAGGAGAACATGCAAGTGAAAGGGTCTTCATCATATGTGTTGATGCCATATCCAGCCCAATCCATACCAATATTGGTAGCAGAGGTGTCAGCAGCAGACCCCAGCCAATCTGTGGAGGGCAGCACAAACAAGCAAGAATGCATGTCAGCTATAGACAGGAAACCAAGAATCAAAGAATAGTGGCTGTGTCAACTCCACCAATGCCTTCATGAAGCAAGGGCATTGTTTTGCCTAATGAAGGCACATTACAAAAATGCATTTGCACATTAATTTGCTTGTTTGGAAAGACACAGAACTGCACGATCCTGTGAATCTTGGTACAGTGAACAAATGGTGCATGATGCTCTCTGCACCCGTTGTCACCTGCAATGTGCAAGAACTGTGTAATCCCTGGATGTCATGCTTGGCACTTCTGGACACAGGACTTGTCTGCCAATCACAATGCGGATCGACAGGTAGAAAGCAAACAAAGAAATCTGATGGAACGCCCAATCATCTTGCAAGTGTGCAGGCAACAATTCTTCTCAGGCAACAATATTGAAGAGAAGTTCATTCAACAAAATGGACCCAATCAGCTCTAGACACAAACTGTGGCAAACAAAAGTCAAATTGGGCATCCTATTCTAATACCAGTAACAAAGTGCCAGGTGCAGTTCGAAATACACAGTAATGGGGCTCGATGTGCCCATATGTTGAATGACTCTACAAGGGGGTGTTCAAAGTGGATGACTGAATTGCTCTGTTGACACCCGTGCGCTGATATGCCACAAATGTCTTCTAGAGAGTAACTGTTCTGCCTAGTTCGACACATACACATCTCAGCTTTGCAACTATAGTATGGAGAGCACACTTCTATAGATTTC